ATCGGCTCAAAAAAATAAGCCAACTCCTGTCAATACAACCCAGGGACAACGAACTGCGTCCTCCTCTCCGCCAGCGCTTCAAAATAATAGATTTGCAGCCCTTTCGGAAGAAGCTGATTCCATTATGGAAATGGAAGAGCCAGATTCCGAAGATCCATCGAGCCAGCAAAATGAAGCCAGCCGTTTCCAGCAGGGAAGTAGTATTCCTAAGCCTCCTGCTATATGTGTGCCACAAGTTAACAAATTGGATAAGCTGGAGGTGGCGCTCAATTCTGCTGTCTCCCCTGACGATTACGACATACGCACATCGAAATCTGGGATCTCGCGTATTTATACGAAGAATTCGAATGCGTTTCGTGCAATAATCAAATTATTGTCCAATCAAAATTGTCAATTCTGGCACCACCAGTTGAAGGAGAACAAACCCTGCAGATTGGTGCTCAGAGATATTCATCCCAATGTACCCAGGCAATTAATAGAGCGCACCTTTACCGACAAGGGCTTTACAGTTTTGAATATATATTGCCCCAGAAAACCGGACTGGCGTAACATTCAAATTAATGAGGAGGATGGTGAGGACATAAATAATGTCAAAACAAGACAAAATATGTTTTACGTTAACCTCCAGAACGCACCCAACGTTGCTGAGGCACTAAAAATAACTCAAATTGGTAGACACAGGGTTACAATATCAAAGGCCAAACAGAGTAAAGAGCTGGTACAATGCTTCAGATGCCAAGATTTCGGGCACACGAGGAACTATTGCCTTAAAAAGCCGGTTTGCGGTAAATGCTCGGGGGACCATGATACTGGCTCAAAATCATGTAACCTGAATGATAATGGGGAATTTATATGCGCTAATTGCGGCGAAGACCACATGTCGAGCTTCAGAGGCTGCAAGGTAAGAATTGATCTAGCCAAAAAACTTAAGCCAGCTGTGAGGTTGCCGAGAGATGGTCTAGTCATCGGTAGCAATAGGAGTTACCCAAACAACCAAGGCAATAAAGTACAGTTCATCTCAAACTCTGCTGTTAAGAGTGGCTTCTCTTACGCTGATGCAGCAAGGCCAATTGAAGGAAAGCGTACCATCGCGCCAACAAACCAAAACTCGCCCCGGGCACACATTTCCGCTGAAGATTGGCATCTAAACAATAAATTTAGTATGCTGGAAAAGGCGATTTTTGATCTAAACGCAAGAATGGATCAAATGTATAAGCTCATTCAGGAAAATATGGATTCCAATAGAGCCTTCCGTGACTTGGTACAAAAACTAATATCCAAATGTTAAATCCGCTGTTAAAAATCGGATTATGGAACGCACGGGGCCTGGTCAAAAACAATGATGAACTCAGGCTTTTCCTAAGTTCAAACTTGATCGATATCATGTTAATAACCGAAACGCATATGCGTCCTGGCTTGAACGCATATTTGCCAGGATACGACCAGTACTACGCTAATCATCCCAGTGGCACCGCTAAAAGTGGTTCTGCAGTCATCATTAGATCAAGTATCGCTCATTCACAGAATGAGCCAATTCTAAAAACAAGCATCCAAGCGGCCAGCGTAACTATAACGACGAATGGTGGAAGCATCAAAGTCTCCTCCCTATATCTTCCTCCCAATGAAGCTTGGTGCAGGGCCGACTTTGATCTATTGCTTGCAACCTTAGGAGATAAGTTTATTGTAGGCGGTGATTTTAATGCAAAACACCAATGGTGGGGTAATTCCAGATCTTGCAGGCGAGGAAGGTGTTTGCAAGAGGCCATAGCTAGTACTACTTGCCAAGTTCTTGCTACTGGAGAGCCAACTTTCTACTCATACAACACACGGCTTAACCCCTCTGCACTAGACTTCTTTATTGTCAACAGGATTGCCCTAAACAGACTCACCGTTGAAACAAAATATGAGCTCGCATCGGATCACCTTCCAGTAGTAGCGACGCTACATCATGCACCGCAATATAATCCCAAGAGGGAATATATTCTACCACCTGGCTCCCGTATTGATGTTTTTAAAGCCGATCTCGAAAGAAGAATTAACCTGAACGTCGAAATTAACAGTCCAGAGGATATCGAAGACGCGATATCAATCCTCATGAAGAACATTTCACTGGCTGCGTCTTCTGCTGCACCGAAAACTTTACGCTTGCCAACCCAACATAGTCAAGCTAGTCTACCACCAACGGCTGCTGCGCTCTTAAGCCTGAAAAGAAGAGTCAGGAAAGAATATGCAAGAACTGGAGATACTCGCATTCATCAAATCTACAAAAGACTGTCCAATCGACTGCAAAAAGAGCTTGCTAAAATCAGACAAGGCAGAATTGATGACATATTGGAAAGTGCTGGTCCAGATGCATCATTTAATTACTCGCTCTGGAAGCTTACGAGGCGATTCAAGAGGCTGGTCATCCCTAAGACTCCAATTAAGGATCCTACAGGTGGATGGAGCTATTCCAGTCAGCAGAAAGCTGAAATCTTTGCAAACAGCCTAGAGGAAAGATTTAAGCCTTTTGACTTTACAACAGCAGATAGGCGAAGGGTAGTCGAGCTTAGGCTGGAGATGCCATTCCAAATGGCCTTGCCTGCAAGCCCAGTTACACTGCAAGAAGTGGTACAGCAGATAAAAAATCTAAAGGTCAAAAAAGCGCCTGGAGAAGACCTTTTAGACAACAGGACGCTGAAACTGCTCCCCACAAGGGCTCTGCTGTATATTGTTTTGCTCATGAATAACATACTCAGGCTGAGGCACTTTCCAAACTGCTGGAAAATGGCGCTAATTACGATGATTCCAAAGCCAGAGAAACAGCATACTGAAGTAGATGGATATAGGCCGATTAGTCTGCTACCTGCCCTCGGGAAGATGATGGAACGCGTGATTCTGGACCGGATTCTCCAGCTCGAAGCCGTGACGCGCAGAATTCCAAAATGGCAATTTGGATTTCGAAGAAGTCACGGAACACCGGAACAGCTCCACCGTGTGGTCAACTTCGCCCTGGAAGCCATGGAGCAAAAGATGTACTCAGTGGCTGTGTTTATGGATATTAAACAAGCTTTTGATAGAGTGTGGCATGATGGTCTCCTCTGCAAATTGAAAGGCATGCTAACTCCTCAATTGTTTCAACTCATCGAAAGCTTTCTAAGGGACAGAAGCTTCAGAGTTGCTGTTGATGGAGTGAAATCCACGAGGCGCTCAATTTGTGCAGGAGTGCCCCAAGGCAGTGTTCTGGGTCCTACCCTGTATACATTATTTACTGCTGATATGCCTGCACCGCAAGAGATCCTTGGAGTAGACGAGGATGACGCACTAATAGCTACTTACGCAGACGACACTGCGGTGCTTACCAGATGCAGAGATATCGATGTAGCTTCGGAAGCCTTACAGCAGTATGTAAGTAGTTTCGAGAAGTGGGCTCTGAATTGGAACATTGGTATCAACGCCAGCAAGTGTGCGAATGTCACATTTACAACAAGGCCGTCGTCATGCAGAGATATCACAATGTTGGGGTCCACGCTCAGTCATACAAATTCGCACAAATATCTTGGTGTCATTCTGGACAGAAGACTCAACTTCAGCAAGCATACAACAATGGTCAAGCGATCGGTCATGGCAAAAGCCGGAAAGATGGCATGGCTGCTTGCACCCTGCAACAAGCTGTCTCTGCACAGTAAGGTGACAGTATACAAGTCCATATTAAGTCCAATATGGAAGTATGCGCTACCAATTTATGGCATTGCCGCTGCATCGAACCTAAATAAAATAAGAGTTGCGCAAGCTAAAATACTCAGAAAAATATGCAACGCTCCCTGGTATATGCGCACTAGGGACATCGAAAGAGACTTATGTGTCCCCAAGGTTGGCGATGTCATTCAAATGCACGCAAGCAATTACGAGAAGCGACTCGGCAGTCACCCCAACGCACTAGCGAGGCGGCTCCTGTCCAAACCTAAGAAGAGAAGACTGAAGAAGTGCCATCCAAAGGATCTCCCCACAAGATCCCTTGTATAAAATATATAATATATATCATAAAATATAATTTCATTTCTAATGTAAAACATTGTAAATATTGTATATATGTACATAGATATAAGTGCGTCCTATAGATGCTTACTATAGACAAGTTTTGTATTCCCTAACTTTCAACTAGCTTAAGCTGCCATATTGGTAGTAGAAAACTAGTTTAATAAATTGTATATATGTAAAAAAAAAAAAAAAAAAAAAAAAAAAAAAAAATATTTCGTGAAGGCACGCTTTAAACTGTGTTTTGTTTTATGGTAATATTTCTGAATCATCTTCTAAATTTACAGTTTTTTGAACTCCTTACACCTCTTGAATTATTTTTTACAGCTGCCTGATTAAATAAAATATATATTCTCTGGATTTTGAAATAACATAACCTGATTCCGAACGCTCTTTAGGTAGCTATCCTCCGCAGCTTTTACAAAATTTGCGCAATTATCAATTGGTTTGGTATTTTGAAAGGGTATTTAGCAAAGGTCATGCATCAAGGCAAGCGTTCACGGGTAAGCGAATCATGCAGTGGTTATAAGTAAAAGGCGCATGCTTTTCAATGGCGTTCTTAAAATATAATTCAAAAACTCAATTCTTTAAAGGATATATAATTTATAAAGAATACTCGATAATTCTGCACTCTTCTTAAACACTTCTGCTTTAGCCATAAGCTGGGATTAAAACTAACCGATAACAGAAACAGAAACCGAAACAAACAAACAAATACAAACACATTTCATTGAAAATATATGTAGATATATGTATATATACAAGTATGTAGGATACGGATATAACTTAAGCTCATTTTGTGGTTTGTTGTTGGTTCTTGTTGTTCTTTGCCTAAAACTATGCTATAATATTTTCATAATAAGTAGTGAACAACGACAACACTGAAATGCCGCAAAAGCGGCGATAGCAGCAGCAGTCGTTGTTGTTGTTCCTGTTGCTGTTGTTTTTGTTGAACTCAATGGTATTGTTATTGTTGTACTCACATTTATCCTGACGCCGACGGCGACGGCATATGCAAATAATTATGCAGCAAATAATGATGACGGCCAGCAATAATCCCAATATGGCGACCACCAGAATAATGAGCGTCGTTTTGTCCCAACGTTGCCACCAAGCCAATTGTTCTGTGCGATGATGGAAGCGGGGAAGAAAAAAGAGAGATGGAGAAAGGGAGAAAAAATACAAGTTGCATTAAAGTGTACAAACTATAAAGTCTAGGATACGCGTAGGCGCAGAGAACTTGAAAGCAAACAATTGTAACATTAAAGCACATGCAGCAAATTTCTTAAAATATATAGTACGTATCGGTGAGAGTGGGGATGTGAGTGACTTGCACCCTCTCCAAGCCACTGCCTGCCTACTTAGGCCAAAGTGAAGGACTTGACGTGTCTGCTCCTGAAGCTTTGGCTTACATCCGGCGATCGGATATGCAACTTTAATTTATCAACTTGTCACACGCTACTCGTTGCAGCTGCAGCCAAACTAGGCAGCGGGTCCCTTTGTTGCCACCATGCTTGTAGTTGGTGTTGTTATTATTGTTGTTGTTGTTGTTGTAAAAAGTGTGCTAAATTCTGGCACAGCTTCCGCCTTCCAATGCGCCTCACTGCTATTCCCCTTTGTCTGTAGTCTGTTGTCTGTAGAGTATTTGTTTTGTGGCTTGTGTGTTTGTCTGTTCGTGTGCCTCATTGTTTTCCATATTGCTATAATTCAGCTGTTTATCATTCAAACAAATGAATTGTCTTTGCCAGCGTGCAATGTAGTGCTGCATACTTTATGGCATTGTGGCGGTTCTGTAGTTTACATCTAAACCAACATATGTATGTATACATATGTATATATTTGTTTGTGTGTGTGTGTTTGTGTTCATGCCTATGTATGTCAGCGGCCTTTGTTTGCTGCGTTTATCTATTTGTTTTAAGTCTCTCACAGTATAAACACACACATATATTATGCAGATGTGTGTGTCGCATATGTTATGAGCTATTCATTTTGGCGTGTGGATTTTCGTGTCAACAACATTTAACAGTCAGCCGACGCCATATCTTATGCAATTAAACGAGCGTGGCAGCAAATGAAAAATGGCGGTTTATTGTGCGCGGCGCGTATTTGTTGTGGATTAGCGAAATGTTATTCGCCATTCATATAGTCTTAGTCGTGTAGGCTTAAGTTTAGCTTAAGGTCTACAAGTATGCATGCTCCATTTATAAATATTGTATAATGTTGTGTGAAATGAGTTAATCGTTGTATGCAGAACGTATGATATCAATGCTTTAATAATATACAGTATTACATACAAAGCACATGTTAGCTGACATATGTGTCGCCATCAGAAGTATATTTAATTTATTTTTTATGTAATATGAATACCATTAAGCTTTCATTATATGTATGCTAGTATGTATAATCACGTTCGTAACGTGTCAGCTCTAGCTTTACTGAAATGAATTTCTTCAAAGTTGGCCATATTTAAAAATATATTTTTCTCTTTTTTTTAAATTCTTTTACAAGAAATGTTAAACTTTTAGTAATGACTGCTGCATAACTTCAGCTCTGAAAAACATTCTTGAAATAAAAATTGGAAAAATATGGAGAAAGAATTTGGTCGCAATGAATTCAAGGACCTATTCTTCGTTAAATTGGTATAAAGTTTAATCAAAAGTTAACAATTCTAGAAATGTTTCCTGTGTTAAAGTGTAACATTGTTCTTCCTATAAATAAAACAACATAACCTTTTAAATAATTCCTTAAGAAACATTGCCGCTTGAAATATGAAGTATTTTAGAAATTCCAGCAATATCATTGAATATTCCAATTAGTATACTTGTAGAAAGTCTGTTCAAGTCTGTTTTTCTTTCGAAACTTGAACCAATTCTAAATCGAAATTCTCGGTAGTGAACAAAATTGGCCACAATAATTCAATAGGTTTGTCGAATAAAGTGTATTTTAATTTAAATGTTACACAATATGATCAAATACGGAAACGGACAGTTCTGCCTTTTGTATTTATATATTTTTTAAAAATACATAAAAATTGTTAATCATGTATATATTGTTAACATGATTGCTTATCGTTGCAGATTTCTGAAATGTTAAATGTGGGAATCTTAAAAAACCACATTAAAGCAAATCAAAACTATACAACACATTAAGCATTTAAGATTAATAGTTGAACATGCAAAGCTACTTACTTTTTGGTCGCACTAAAGTATTAGAAGCAGTGTTTAATACATTTAATTAGTATTTCCAATATAGCCCAGTTATGCAGGAGGGAATGAAATGATTTGTTTAGCAATAAAGGATGACAAATATTAATTGGTTAGTACATTTTGAAAGCTGTGGATTTAGATAGTTTTCGTTTTTAGTATAGAGATATTTCTAGATTACATTTAAAGAAATGTTTTATTATATAATCCCATTATTTTTCCGGACAACATTTGTTTTTGAGACTATATATAGTTGTTTTAAAATGCTCATTATAAATTCCTAACCTGACAGCTAAATGAAAAGTGGGAATGATTGAAAGGAATTTTTTGGAACACATGCCCATACTTCGGAAAAAAAAACCAAAACATCAAATCAACTAAAATTTGAATCACAGTTCCTGCATTTACCTCGCCACCAAAGATAAAGCGCTGAACCAGCTGTCGAAAAATCACAAACAGATAAAATTTTGAATATATAAAAAATAAAAAAATGGTGCAAACAAATTTAAAAATATTTGAAATTTAAAAAAGAAAAATTATTCGAAGAAAGTTTGTTAACATTTGCTGAGGTATATATGTATATGGTTTAAGAAACATGTTTGTTCATAAGCAGGGATAGCTTTGAAAATACGCAGAAAATTTACAAATAAAAAAAAGTATATATAGTTTTATTTTAAACAAAATATTGGTTGTCAACTAATAATATAACATTTCTCAAGTGGAATTTTGTTCTGAAATTTTGTAAAAAAAACCTGTTAAATAATTCGGTAACTACTTAAGTTTGTAGGAACATCTGAAAAGATTTTATGGATTTGCAAGATTTGTTTTGAGCTTTGTGTCAGAATTTAAAATAGCTTTTATCTTTAATTTTAAACCATCTGTTGAATTTTTGTTCTGAGATTTTTCTTGTTATTTCAAGTTATTTTTATAAGCATTGGGTTTAAGCGATGCATTTTTATTTGATGCTGTTGAATCTAAAAGCCGATATAAAATGTTAGATTTTTATTGCGCATGTACAATCTTTTTTATAAGGTACTAATACTACCTAATCAAATGCGACTTTAAAAATAGTTAAAGCCACAAAATTGCTATTGCAAAAGGCACCTAAATCCGAGGCACTTTAATTTTAAGCCTGCGGTCATTTACACAATGATCAGGCCTTAGTTTATGACCAGCTCGAACAAAGAAGTTGACGTGAATATATTTTCACGGTGACTGCGACTTTCGGAAATGCACTAAAACCGTTCGAGTCGTTGGCCCCATAAAAAGGCGTTGATGCTGCAGTCAGAGTCAATCGCAATTCAATCAATGAAATCAAATAAAAAGTGGCATAGTAAGTTGCCGAGTGCTATTCAAGTACTGAAGGTATCGACGTATTTACTTGCGCACATTAAAATGGGGGGGAAAAAATAAACTTAAGAGAGACGAATTCACGACTTAAGCAGCTTAAAAAATCCACGAGAAATCAAAACGAAAAAAAAGTGGCGAACGTAAAAACTGATTTCGGTGGCTAACCGGAGACAAAGGCAATGCAAACGAAGACGACGAAGAAGAAGAAGAAGAAAAACAGAACAGAAAAAGCACAAAAATCAATTTCCGTTTGTTGTAATAAAACGTGAAAAATGTTGAAGTAACAACAACCAAAGCAAAAAGGCTGCAACAGCATGGTAAGGGGGTGTAGGGGCGTTAAAAGATTCGACAGCTGCAAAATAAAATCCAAACAGTTCCCTAATTGCCACTGTCGACGGTCCTGGTCGCATCAACTGCTGCTGCTCGCCATTTGATGCAACAACGCATAAAAATGGCGGCATTGGGCAGCGGAAGCAGATGAAACAAATATTGACAGTAATCAGCTTCCGACATTGACATCGACATCAACATCAATATCGACATTGCCATCAACAAGGACAATGACGATAAGAAAGAGCACCAACTCAGCTGCTCTGGTTGTTCTCCCGCAACACCCACTGCTTTGTTTTAGCATTCATCTAACTGCGCCTGAGAGCATGCTACAGTTTTTTTGTGCTGTTTATGAACTACATCAGTACAAGCACATACATACAAGTACATATACGTATACACATACACATACATATACGCGCACAATTACTCACCAGCAACTTCAATCTCACAGAAGGCACCCGCACCGACCGTATTGTTGGCCACACATCGATAGGTTCGTGCAATTGCGTAATCCTCTTGCAGTTCGTAAAAGCTCTGGGAGGACTTACTGTTGCCGCTGCCCAGCCATTCGACGGTTTCATTTTCAGCTTTAATTGACCATGAAAAATCGGCCTGCAAAGAGTACGAGAAAAATACATGCATTTATATTTTGTGTTTTGTAGAGAACAGAGACTGAGAGTGGGGCTAGATGCTTAAAAGGGCGACTCGACAGGTGCGTTTCAGTACACACACTAACACACATAAATACAAACATACTATATGCTCATACGCACACAAACCAACAAACAAACAAACAGACACATAGACAAGTCAAGTGCTTGTTGTACTTTTTGTTGCTTTGTCTGTCTGAGCTTGTGTCTCGGCTTAGCCCTTTCGTCCTGCTCTATTGGATTTTTTGCTTTTGCTTGCCTGCACTTTGATTATTCAGGTATTTTGCTTTTGCTCTTCATATTTCTCGTTTTGTTCTTGTTGGCTTCGTTGTTGTTGTTGTTGTTGTGACTGCTGCTATTTATGTGCCCAATACTCAATACTCAATGGGCATTCGGTACAGTTGCTGACGACGCATTTGCGAGGCTTTGAAGTCTCCTTAATTGGCATTGCGCCAGTGTCAAGTGCAGTTTGAGGCTTAGTTTTTGGGTCTTTTAATTTCTTTATGCACTCAGCACGTCTGTACGTCTGATGTGTATGTATGCGTGCTAAAAGCAATTTAGATGGCATTTCCATAAATGCCCCCTCTTGCGACCAACTTCTGGCTTCTATTCCCTAATGATAACTATGCGAAAAGACTTCGTAGAATAAACATTTAAAAAATCAGATTTAAAATATACATTTTTCATTAATAGAAGTATACGATTGAAACCGATTTTTAAAATATAAATATGCAGCATTTTAGAATGTTTTTTTAAAAGTTTCAAATTATGGCTGTATACTCTTTGAATTATTTAATATTTTTTTAATTTTTTTAACTAATGATTAAAATAAAGCAGAAAAATAATAATTGCAAATATTCGAAAAACATTTGAATATGATCTTGAATGGGGGGGGGGGGGGATTTTCTTTTATTAACGGAATTACTTTCAAACAAATTGGATTCAAAAATGCAGCCAAAAGACACATACATACATACATGAAAAAGGAAAAATATTAAAATAAAAACTGAATTGTCTTAATTATTTTCTAATTCTAATTTCTTATTTTAGTCAGTCACTTATTGGCTCGACTACTTGCTCAGCAGCATTTGAGTTCTACCATAGTCACTAGTTAGTCAACGGAAGTTTCCTCTACTGCTGCTGCCAAAATACAAGTTTCTAAATAATTCTGATCATAGAGAGATTTCGTATTAGCTATGCCGTTTATTCTGTAAATAAACCACAAGCATGTTTCTCAATCGAGTGCTTCTTCTATAAGCGGGCTAGCGCTACCCCAATTCGACCTAAACACATCAAATGAATTCTACATTAGCGTCTTCACTACCCACTTCCTTTTTGAAGTTGTTAGGCCATCGTTAACCCCTAGCTAATACAAGCGGGTTTTTAATAGCTTCGGGCAATCTTCATTCAAAATTTACAAGTTTTCTTTCGCAATTTTCTGGCGTTTGCTACAACCCTTAAATCACAAGATACAACAAAAATTGGCTCTAGCGATTTTCGCTGTGAAATTCAGACCCAAACCCAAACTGAAGTAGCCAACCATAGACTGGTTATTAAATTTTAACTTTACGCCAGTTGAATAATTTCCAATCAAATAATTACAAGCCACTGACTGTGGCTATGCGTGGCCATAAATCTTTTGGCCGAACATGCACCCCTTCTTCAATGCTGCCTTCGGTAATCACCAACGTTAACTCAGCCGGTGTACAAGCAAATGCAATTGCAATTGCAACTGCAGTACACTGAGAGAGGCGGAGTGTTGGAAATAAAACCAAAATAAGAATTCTGTAGCCAAGTCGAACCGAACCGAACCAAACCAAACCAAATGCTGCACTGATTTATGCGCCGCTGGAAACAGAACGAACTCCCGCTGAACTCGCGCTGTTTGGCAGTCCAGCGAAAAGGTAAACTCATGAAATTGAAAATTCTTGTAGCTGCCTGCCTGCCTTCTGCAAAAAAATGGAAGCAAAAAATACGGAAACCCCAAACGTAAAAATCGTGCAAACGAGCAGACGTGCAGGCATCCAAGGGCTAAGGCAGAGCTGAAGTTTTTAATTTTTCCTTCTTTTTTTTCGCCCACTCCCATTTGATTTTTTTATGCGCCACAATTGAAATGCTATCGCTATCGTTATTGCCATTTCGATGGCTTCCAACCGAGTCCGGGTCATGGAATGCGACGGCATGCGGTGCATGTGAGTGTGTTCAAGGGTGGGCTGAAATCTTTCTCTAGTCGGTGTTGGTCCGTTCATGTTTACTGCGTGTTGTTTGTCTATTTGCGTGGCACCCCTTTGGTGTTGGTGTTGGCTTTGGCGTTGGGGTTGGGGTTGGGTCGCATTGGCACTTACCTCTTCAGGATTTCCGTATGCTGTGCAAATTAGTGTATCCCGTTCATCGATCTCACGCCTTTCGATTTCGCAACGCGGCTTAACTGTGAACACATAGGCAAGAGGGCAAGAGGTTAGAGGGTTAGGACTAGAGGGTTACGACCCAACACCAGATTCACTCACATTGTACATCGATGACCGTTTCCGCTGTGCTCTCGCCGTGCTTGTTGAAGGCCCGACAAGTGTAGATGCCCGTGTCGTTCCGTTGCATGGCCGTATTGATAATCAAGGCATTGCCCTGCGTAACCGTCCTATTCTGGAAGTGCCACTCATAGAGGGGCTCTACAGATACATGAACAGATATTACATACTCTGACAAATCAGCAGCAGCAGCTTGTCAACTTACCAGGATTAGCTCGTGATTTGCATATGACACGTCCCGGTATGGTGTCCTCCTGCACGTAAACAATATTTTCGGAGACAGTTGTGTTGGAGGGCGCATCTGTTTGGACATAGTCGAAAGGAGCATTTATTTATAATACTACTCATTGGGTCACAAAATTCCCCCCCTCTTTGCGATACTTACATTCAATGCTGAAATATGTGGCGCTCTTGATGCCACCGCCTACTGTGTTCCCCGTCGATACGCATGTATAATTTGCATTATCCGCCTCGATGTCGAATTTTTTATTGGGCCAATTTGACATATTGAAGTGCTGTAATCAGTTGACAAACATAAACAGTGTTACACACACAAACCCACACATTTATACATATATATACAAGTTTAGATACACATAATGGGAATTGAGTCTCTGATGTTCATTTTTATTTGGGCTGACAAGGACAAGATTGGCATTTTATGTTTTTATTTATTTGTTCGTTTTTCTGGTTTGGTCAGATGCCGAAAAAAGACAAATTAATTGGGATTTTGTTTGTCACAGACTGAGATTTTTATTGCCAAATTTTCTGCTGCTTAGAACGAAATTAACTATAATTTGAATATGCGGGAACAGACTAAGCCTGAATTGGGGACAATTCCCGTAATGGAGACGTTTATGCTTTACGAAATTGATTGATGGCTTAAGCTATTGGGGAAATGATATTTTAACATAAATGCCAGTGCCAATGACATTTCATTTAAATTATTTGAAATATTCTAAAACAAGTTTAGTATAATAATGATTAAGGTATGACATACACCCCCTATTTATATTTAATTTCAGTTCGATTGATTTTAAATGCTTTTCATGCGATCTACGCTTCGCTATTAATGGCGGATGTGTATAAATTAATATTTATTTATAAACATTTTGAATGTTTTTTAAATTTGTTGGGAGACCACATAATGTTAGTTTATAATCTAAGGCTGCCTACAAAATGCTAAATAATATGAAAATATAAGCTTGTAACTGTAACTATAAAACCCAAACCTATCCCTAACAACATTTCCGCATATAGCTCTCATTAATTTTAGCAGAATATTTATTTTATTTATTTATAAATTTGTTGAATGTTTTTTAAATTTGTTGGGAGACCACATAATGTTAGTTTATAATCTAAGGCTGCCTACAAAATGCTAAATAATATGAAAATATAAGCTTGTAACTGTAACTATAAAACCCAAACCTATCCCTAACAACATTTCCGCATATAGCTCTCATTAATTTTAGCAGAATATGTTGCATCCCCTATGTGCATATATTACAATTGTAGAATACGAATAATTTTGGTATCGATTTCAATTCGGCTTTTCCATTTCCTCAAAAAAGCTTTGCCTGCATAGCTTGTTTAAATGGAATCCTCAACCAAAGGTTCAAATGCGATTCATTTGGCACAAATTGGTAATTTTGCAAACAAATCCCACACACACACACACACATACATACACACACACGTATACAGAGAGAGAAAATCCAACCCCCCTGCCAATAATGCAGATGAACACAAATTCATTGCTAATGCAATGCAACCAGACCATCAATCAAGCTACAAATCTCTTAAATCCGGCAGGAATTCACCTCAACGTCATTACAAAATCAAAACCAAACTCACGCTCAAAATGTCAGTGGTTAGCGCAGACCCCTTTCAGACCTCTTTCAGACCCGTTTAACCCAAGTATGCCCGCTGGGCGTGCAGTACTCACCAGAACCGACAGCATGCTCTCGAAATCTCCGGTTGCCGGCGACGCATCCATATACTTCTCCTTGACAAAGTAACGCGTATCATTCTTCTCGATGGGCACACCATCCTTCAGCCAGGCGATCTCGCAGCGCGGCACACACTCGATGCGACACGTCAGGTTGGCATTGTGCGAGGCATGCAGCATGCCTGTGTACGGTGGCAAATTCTTGATGAAAAATGGTGGAGCATGTACTTCCAAATTGACTGTGGCCATTACGCCTTTGCCGCCCTCATTGTACGCATAGCAGGAGTAGTTGGTGCGGCTGTCCAGACCCACCGGCTCCACCGTCCAGTCCTTGGTCACAATATCCGTCAGCGGACCGCGACCACCGCGCAGCCAACGATATCTGTTGGGTTGACAGAGTGTTTGAGCCGTGTAGGTGAATTTGCCCATTTTGCGGTAGAGTGCAAAGGCGGAGGATGACGATAACCATGACGATGACGATGGCGATGGCGATGACGATGACGTGGGCGATGGCAGTGATGAAGATGAGGACGATGTCATTGTGGTTGTGGTTGTGGTTGGTCGACCACCCGTATAGAGGGTTAATATTTGTGATTGTGGCGTGTAGGTGGTAAGCGTGAGCAATGTACAAAGGGAATGATTTAAATGTAAATCAATTAGAGCATGCGTTTCTTTAATTTCGCGAGCTTGGCCAGCGGCTGCTGCTGCTGTTGCTGCTGATGACGTTATTGATGTTGTTATGTGTGGAGCGTACAAAGCTGGGTTTTCTTGTTGTTTTTGTAGGAGCAAGGCCTCGAAAGCTTCATCAGCTTCGTGCGGTTGCAGTGCTTGGACGGTGTGGAAGGCAATTTGTGTTGGTTGTGACGGTGGTGTTGCAGTTATTGTTTTGGTCTTTGGTATGGGTGTTGTGGATGTGTTGTTCTTGGTGGTGGTATCATGCGCTACAAACCTATTTGATTCGGGATAGCCCGGATCATCCACCGAGCACGAAAATATTACACTCTTCTTTTTAACAGCAATCAGCGGGAAGTGGGTGAGTGTGGCTGGTCCAGGCTCATAGTGCACCTGTAGAACAAAATAAATAATAAATATTTTAACTATTCTATATTATTTTGAGAGCTTAAGCACCATTAGTTCCTTGTCTTCGCTCCGAGGGCCCCAGCCAGCGGCATTGTAACCCTCGCAGGAATAGTTGTAAAAGAATCCACGTCCAATGCTTTCAAGCAACAGCTTGCTGGGATCTATGTGGCACAAGTCCTCCTGAAAATCGTAAAAAAGGCCAAATGAAAGTGTTCATTTCATATTTGTTTTGCTTTTCCTTAGAGATACTACACATGTCATTTGGTCTTCTCTCATAGTTTTTTGTCTTTTAAGCTTTACGCACTTAATATAAAATGGATGTCAAATTTTCCAAAATTATGTCGCATTTTAGATAAAAGTGGTTTTAATTAGGGTTGCAGGGTAATTCTATTATTCCTAAACAATTTTCGAAAACAAAGATTCAAGGCTAGATGACTCGGTAGAGTTTCTCATAACGAACGACTTGGAACACTTTGGATTAAGAAAATCATCAACTATTTAAATGATTACCATTATATTCATAATAGTTTGGAAATAGAATGGCAGAACAGTTATAATTAACAACTCCAAAGACGAATGACAATACTCTAGTATTTTATTTTATGGAGTTCGCATTAAAAAAATATTAAATATATCAAAAAAAATCGCCTCTATTATTTACCCTATTATATATAATACTTACAAAAGTTCTATAAAAAAAATATAAAATGTTAACACAATCGGTTTATCAGTTTTATAATATACATATCTTTATATATTTATTGAAGAAACAAATGAACTAATTTATTGGCAGTAGGTAAAATCTTTAAAAAGTTGGGCAGCTTTTATTTTCATTTAAAAATGACATGGGTTTATTTATCTTCCGGTATTTGTGAGTAAATTGTATGAAATTTAACTTCAAATTGGGCAAGAGCATCCAGCTGGGAAGGTTTACTTATTTGCAACAAACATGTGCTCCAATGTTACAATTTGAATTCGAGAATTCGACATCGATTACTCACCCTAGTCTCCTCGCAGTCAGGTAGCTCCTTGAGCAACGTGGAATTGGCATACCAGCGCACTTTTGTCAGCACGCCGGGATTAGCGTCTAGAACGTTGCAAAAAAGAGTCACATTTGACTCGTCGCTCTCCTTTACCGGTCCCTCGGGTATCATGAGCACCTCGACAATGGGCACATCTGAGACAGACAGACAGATAGACAGACAGATAGATGGACAGACAAAGGAGGGAAGAAGCCAGATTAGCAGTTAGTCTGAGTACTCTCAGGCAAAAATACTCCATTGTCTTTGGCACTTACATTGAACATCCAAGTCGATTTGCTGCTCGGAGATGCCTTTGCCAATCACATTGGAAAGCTGGCACGTATAGTTGCCAATGTCCTCCTTGTCCGTGGATTTGATGACCAAGGCAACGTTCTCCGCGTTGCCGCCCTGATAGCGGTCCGTGTCGTTGACATTCACGATGTCGCCATTGCGATACCTAAACAGAAAGAACAAAAAAATGTCCGAGAATTTAGTTAAAGATTTGATTTAAAGCGTGTTGTCTGCCGCATGACGTTGCGTGGCATAATTTAAGGCTCCTACACTGGTTAGTGGAGCAGTAGGCAGATCAGAGCGGAGCACACAAACGCATTTAGTCATTTATTATACACACAGCACAAACGGACACAGAAAGGCAATGCAGGAGAGGGATGGAAAGGGGAGGGCAGCGGAGGGAAGGGGAGAGAGAGCAGCCACTGTTGATGCCAGCTTGCAAAGCTATTTAAAATTTATAGGCACGTTTCATTGTGTTTTTGTTTTCATAACAACTTGCAAATCCCCACTACATAACAGGAGTGACACAGCCAGCCAACAATAGTGGCTAGGGAGAGTGGAGGGCAGAGAGGCCCTGGGAGGGCCGAATTCAGGCTCTGGGAATGTGGTCTAGTGCCAACTGCTGTCAATGTGCCGACTCACAGTTGACGCAGTTGACGTTTTGCAAACTTTTCAAGTCGTCGAGACAACGACAACAAGAATGAAATTATGTCAAATGCCTTTGTGCCGATTGCCTCAGTGCCACACTGCCTGACTGCCTGACTGCCAACCTGCCTTTAACGGCCGCTTTACTTTAGTTATTTATTTTTTTAAGTTTTTTATTTTTCATTTCACCCGCCTTCTTCAGTCTCTTTTGCATAAGCCACTGTCATTCTGTCATTGTTATTTCTCTTACTCTCATTGTTGTTGTTGTTCTTGCTGTTTTTTGGCAAGCCTTCTGTGTGCAAGCGTTTTAAAATCTACTTACAAATGCTGCACAATTGGCAGCTGACAGTTGGCAGTGTCGTTGAAATTGAAGCCAGAGACTGAAGATGGACTGGCACTTGGGGGGGTTGGGTTAAGTGAAAACGTTTAAGGTGTGCTAAAGTAGAAAGGAATATGGCGAAAAGGATTTGGGATTCCCATGCAAATTATTCAGTTTTGTATGTAAGAACACACTATGTGTGTACTACTACTTACAAGTGCTTGCATTTTCTCCACTTTCAACACAAATGTTCGTAAACAAAAGATTTATTATTTGATGATTTTTTACAATGCATCATAGAATTTAAATTCAAGCTCACTGATACGGTCTTTGAATCTGAAGTAATTTATTGTCTACTCGTATACCAGCAGATAGAAAAATTTTCGCATTTAAATCTACTTTTCTAAACTATATCGAAATTATAACCGGCTTAGTACATCATGCTTCCTAACGTCTAACCACTCCAGCACTTTTTAAACCAGAATGATGCAGGCCGTCCCTATTGATAAACAGTTTTCACTTTTTTTTTTTTTTTTTTTTTTTTTTTTTTTTTTTACATATATACAATTTATTAAACTAGTTTTCTACTACCAATATGGCAGCTTAAGCTAGTTGAAAGTTAGGGAATACAAAAGTTGTCTATAGTAAGCATCTATAGGACGCACTTATATCTATGTACATATATACAATATTTACAATGTTTTACATGAAAAATGATTATATTTTATGATATATACTATGTATTTTATACAAGGGCTCTTGTGGGGAGATCCTTTGGATGGCACTTCTTCAGTCTTCTCTTCTTAGGTTTGGACAGGAGCCGCCTCGCTAGTGCGTTGGGGTGACTGCCGAGTCGCTTCTCGTAATTGCTTGCGTGCATTTGAATGACATCGCCAACCTTGGGGACACATAAGTCTCTTTCGATGTCCCTAGTGCGCATATACCAGGGAGCGTTGCATATTTTTCTAAGTATTTTAGCTTGCGCAACTCTTATTTTGTTTAGGTTTGAAGCAGCGGCAATGCCATAAATTGGTAGCGCATACTTCCATATTGGACTTAATATGGACTTGTATACTGTCACCTTACTGTGCAGGGACAGCTTGTTGCATGGTGCAAGCAGCCATGCCATCTTTCCGGCTTTCGCCATGACCGATCGCTTCACCATTGTTGTATGCTTGCTGAAGTTGAGTCTTCTGTCCAGAATTACACCAAGATATTTGTGCGAATTTGTATGACTGAGCGTGGACCCCAACATTGTGATATCTCCGCATGACGACGGCCTTGTTGTAAATGTGACATTCGCACACTTGCTGGCGTTGATACCAATGTTCCAATTCAGAGCCCACTTCTCGAAACTACTTACATACTGCTGTAAGGCTTCCGAAGCTACATCGATATCTCTGCTTCTGGTAAGCACCGCAGTGTCGTCTGCGTAAGTAGCTATTAGTGCGTCATCCTCGTCTACTCCAATGATCTCTTGCGGTGCAGGCATATCAGCAGTAAATAATGTATACAGGGTAGGACCGAGAACACTGCCTTGGGGCACCCCTGCACAAATTGAGCGCCTCGTGGATTTCACTCCATCAACAGCAACTCTGAAGCTTCTGTCCCTTAGAAAGCTTTCGATGAGTTGAAACAATTGAGGAGTTAGCATGCCTTTCAATTTGCAGAGGAGACCATCATGCCACACTCTATCAAAAGCTTGTTTAATATCCATAAACACAGCCACTGAGTACATCTTTTGCTCCATGGCTTCCAGGGCGAAGTTGACCACACGGTGGAGCTGTTCCGGTGTTCCGTGACTTCTTCGAAAACCAAATTGCCATTTTGGAATTCTGCGCGTCACGGCTTCGAGCTGGAGAATCCGGTCCAGAATCACGCGTTCCATCATCTTCCCGAGGGCAGGTAGCAGACTAATCGGCCTATATCCATCTACTTCAGTATGCTGTTTCTCTGGCTTTGGAATCATCGTAATTAGCGCCATTTTCCAGCAGTTTGGAAAGTGCCTCAGCCTGAGTATGTTATTCATGAGCAAGACAATATACAGCAGAGCCCTTGTGGGGAGCAGTTTCAGCGTCCTGTTGTCTAAAAGGTCTTCTCCAGGCGCTTTTTTTACCTTTAGATTTTTTATCTGCTGTACCACTTCTTGAAGTGTAACTGGGCTTGCAGGCAAGGCCATTTGGAATGGCATCTCCAGCCTAAGCTCGACTACCCTTCGCCTATCTGCTGTTGTAAAGTCAAAAGGCTTAAATCTTTCCTCTAGGCTGTTTGCAAAGATTTCAGCTTTCTGCTGACTGGAGTAGCTCCATCCACCTGTAGGATCCTTAATTGGAGTCTTAGGGATGACCAGCCTCTTAAATCGCCTCGTAAGCTTCCAGAGCGAGTAATTAAATGATGCATCTGGACCAGCACTTTCCAATATGTCATCAATTCTGCCTTGTCTGATTTTAGCAAGCTCTTTTTGCAGTCGATTGGACAGTCTTTTGTAGATTTGATGAATGCGAGTATCTCCAGTTCTTGCATATTCTTTCCTGACTCTTCTTTTCAGGCTTAAGAGCGCAGCAGCCGTTGGTGGTAGACTAGCTTGACTATGTTGGGTTGGCAAGCGTAAAGTTTTCGGTGCAGCAGAAGACGCAGCCAGTGAAATGTTCTTCATGAGGATTGATATCGCGTCTTCGATATCCTCTGGACTGTTAATTTCGACGTTCAGGTTAATTCTTCTTTCGAGATCGGCTTTAAAAACATCAATACGGGAGCCAGGTGGTAGAATATATTCCCTCTTGGGATTATATTGCGGTGCATGATGTAGCGTCGCTACTACTGGAAGGTGATCCGATGCGAGCTCATATTTTGTTTCAACGGTGAGTCTGTTTAGGGCAATCCTGTTGACAATAAAGAAGTCTAGTGCAGAGGGGTTAAGCCGTGTGTTGTATGAGTAGAAAGTTGGCTCTCCAGTAGCAAGAACTTGGCAAGTAGTACTAGCTATGGCCTCTTGCAAACACCTTCCTCGCCTGCAAGATCTGGAATTACCCCACCATTGGTGTTTTGCATTAAAATCACCGCCTACAATAAACTTATCTCCTAAGGTTGCAAGCAATAGATCAAAGTCGGCCCTGCACCAAGCTTCATTGGGAGGAAGATATAGGGAGGAGACTTTGATGCTTCCACCATTCGTCGGTATAGTTACGCTGGCCGCTTGGATGCTTGTTTTTAGAATTGGCTCATTCTGTGAATGAGCGATACTTGATCTAATGATGACTGCAGAACCACTTTTAGCGGTGCCACTAGGATGATTAGCGTAGTACTGGTCGTATCCTGGCAAATATGCGTTCAAGCCAGGACGCATATGCGTTTCGGTTATTAACATGATATCGATCGAGTTTGAACTTAGGAAAAGCCTGAGTTCATCATTGTTTTTGACCAGGCCCCGTGCGTTCCATAATCCGATTTTTAACAGCGGATTTAACATTTGGATATTAGTTTTTGTACCAAGTCACGGAAGGCTCTATTGGAATCCATATTTTCCTGTATGAGCTTATACATTTGATCCATTCTTGCGTTTAGATCTAAAATCGCCTTTTCCAGCATACTAAATTTGTTGTTTAGATGCCAATCTTCGGCGGAACTGTGTGATCGGGGCGAGTTTTGGTTTGTTGGCGCGCTGGTACGTTTTTCTCCAATTGGCCTAGCTGCATCAGCATAAGAGAAGCCACTCTTAACAGTAGAGTTTGAGATAAACTGTACTTTAGTGCCTTGGTTATTTGGGTAACTCCTATTGCTACCGATAACTAGTCCATCTTTCGGCAACCTCACAGCTGGCTTAAGTTTTTTGGCTAGATCAATTCTTACCTTGCAGCCTCTGAAGCTCGACATGTGGTCTTCGCCGCAATTAGCGCATATAAATTCCCCATTATCATTCAGGTTACATGATTTTGAGCCAGTATCATGGTCCCCCGAGCATTTACCGCAAACCGGCTTTTTAAGGCAATAGTTCCTCGTGTGCCCGAAATCTTGGCATCTGAAGCATTGTACCAGCTCTTTACTCTGTTTGGCCTTTGATATTGTAACCCTGTGTCTACCAATTTGAGTTATTTTTAGTGCCTCAGCAACGTTGGGTGCGTTCTGGAGGTTAACGTAAAACATATTTTGTCTTGTTTTAACATTATTTATGTCCTCACCATCCTCCTCATTAATTTGAATGT